GGACGCCACTGTTCTTAAGTGGAGATAGTTGACACTATTAAAAAAAAAAGAAACGCCGCCTCTCCCAGCCCTTCTCCCAGTCCATTTACTTCTGTTGCCAGAATAATTTGAGTGTATATTGTTTTGTTTGGAGTAATCAGGCTGAAGTAGCATTAGTTGAGCTTCTCATCTTTTAATTACAGACATTTTATTGTCTGTGCTGTCCCACTTTCTGCATGGTTCCCCACCAGCCAGCTAGACTTAGCAATCTCCATTAATTTAATTTGGCATTTCATTCAATCAGACAGGCTGTGAACATGATGAATTTTTTTTTTTAATAACACAATGCTCATTCTTAATTGATGTCCTTATCAGACATTGTATTTGCCAGAGCTGTAATTATTGGTCAGGCAGCAAAATCCAATCTGCCCAAATGCAGTGAAGATGTTCTCTGGTGAAATTATTAAGATACAGTACTTAGACCTGCAAAGTAATTTAGTTTTGGTCTGTAATTACATCTTTTGGGATCATTATCTTTCTTTTTACTCATAAGGACAGTGTAACCTCAGAGGAATTAATTTGCCAAATATGAAGATAGAACCGAGATCCTTGCCATAATATATATTTGTGCAAGTGGATATTTTACATAAAAATAATGAGCATGCGCACACCATAAAAGAATGATTTTATTAATGGCTGTATTTTAAAAAAATATGGCTTCTAATTTTATTGCAGGAATACTGAAAATGTGATCAGTTGAGGTTGCCATAAACTATAAGCAATGAATTGGCATCAGAAAGGATAGAATTTGGATGTGCAACTGCCTAAAATACATACACAAGTGGATATGCAGTTTTGTGACAGAATTAATCTGGAGCTAGTTCTCCAGGCAGCAGTTCAGCATGAAGCCAGTGAGAATTTTGCCAGAGATACTATCCTGAGAAACTTTAAATGTGTATTTGGATTAAACATTAAGTAGTAATTATGAAAGGACTTTTAGTGTCATGATAACAAAGCCTTAATTGTGTTTTGCAGTAAGGATTGCGATAGGGTTTTCTTTAATTAAAAAACAAAGGTGCAGGGAGTGGGTTCAGTAATTATTAAATATTTTTTTATTTATTCTCAGATAGAAGGTATGTAATGTTTGGATACAGGATTGCAATTATTCCTTTTAAGCAAAATGTAAATCTCTGGATTAGTTAAGAGGTGATTGCAAAATGTGTTTCATTCCTGTTCTGGATATATATTTTGTTTGACTTTTTCGTTTTGGACATTCACATTCCATGGTTTTGTTGGTATTCCATGCTGGAACAATAACCCTTCCAATGTTTTTTTTCTTCCTTGCGGTTGTACTATTAAGTAGCAATATATAAAAATAATGATTTAGAAAATCTAATGTATTTGCCTGGTGAATTGAATTTTACTGTTAAGCATAAAAATGGCAGTATTTTAAAAAATCTTTTTTGTTTCACGGAGATTCTCAGATAAAAGTCTGAGCTCCTCTATGTCTGGTTTTAAGTTACTTATGTTTTTTGGTATTTTCACTTTTTAAGAATGAATAGTGGATGTGACTGCTAATGTTTTTCATATTAGAGTTACACCACAATTGGGTTGGTTTAAGGACAGAAATGTAAGAATTATTAATAAATACTAATGATTGAATGTTGCAAGTAAAATATTTTTTCCATTAAAATCAGTAGCAAAATTGCCATTAACTTTTATAGGTTTAAAATATTACTATGTTTGTCTGTAACACTTTCAAAATCAGTTATTTGGTTAACTTTTTATACTGATTTTAATATTTTGGTTTTGTGGTGTGAACTTCTGCTTTGCTTGTTTTATTTCTTGGTGTGGCTTTTGAGTCATCACAGTTGCAAAAGAAGAGGCCAGACAGTAACCACTACTTAATCTTTTGAGATGTTCTGAGATTTTCTTTTTCAGTGGGAATTCAGACTGTGGACATTTAATCACTGTTTTTTACCCAAACGCAAATTGCCAAGGTTTTCTGTGACATTCATCATATCAAACTTCTTTCTTCAAACAACCTGTTCATCAGCCTCAGCTTTCATAACCAACCAATTAGTAGGTTCTGGTGAGTGCAAAGGGTGGCTTGAAGACTCAAGTAGCACTGCGTTGTGCTGATTCAAAGCGACTAATCCCTTGATTTGCAAACAGGAATCACAGCGTCTGGCCAGGGAAGTTTGGTCTATGAAAACATGCAGTCTCTAGAAGTGGGGCAGTGATACAGTTTTTATATCCCTGGTCCTGGGCAGGAATTGATTTGGCCTTTGTTAGGTCATGCATTGGGGAAGGAGTAGAGGACATGAATTTCTCTTAGCATTGCAAATATACACTCTTCCTAGAGAAGATGAATAAAGCCAGATGCTTCATGTTTGGTAGTCAAAGCCAAGAGAAGAGCTTCAACAAGCCGTTGTAGAAATAACCAATTTTCTTGACGTTCTTTATACAAGGTATTGGTAAGCAAATATCCAGTATCTCATTACAGTCTTCATTTCTTGGACATGAATTTCAGTAGGCCCAAGATTCAAGTGCCCTTGCAGCATTAAAGAATAGAGGACTGAGCTGTTGTAGTATTAATGCAACGATTTACATGAAGAATGAAAGCTATGACTCACAACAAGTTCAGAACTGCTTTTGTTTGTTTGCAATTCGTTTCATGAAATCAGCATATGCCTGTGGTTTGCTGTTTGTGGTACTCACGCTTAGTGTACTTGTCAAAACTTAAGATGGAGTTAAAACTCTTGAAACCAAAGGAAACAAATAGCAGTTTGTAAGGCAACGATATGTATTGCCAAAGGAAGCTGGAAAGGTTTTACGGTTTTTGCTGTAACAGGGCAAGGGTGCTCTGAGATCTTTAGATGCAAAAGTTTATGCAAAACTGTGCTAATTGCTATGGCTATGTGATTGGAAAGCATCCCAAGGCCAGCATGAAACAAAAAGTTAGCTGGACTTGGTGCTGTATCTTTCTTTCTTTCTGTCCCAGGGAAATCCAACAGGTGGGACTCCACAGGAGTATACCTGGGCCAATCCAGTTGCTGGATCTCACCTTTAATTTGAATGGCTGCTGTCAACTGTAGGAGTGCTTTGGGATGTTTATGAGGGGCCTGAGCAAGAGATCCTTTAGAAAATAAATGGAGAAGAATGTTGACTGCAACAAGTCATTTCACAAAAAACATAATTCCCAAATTAACTTACTGAAATAGACAAGAACCCCTTGTTCTATTTAGAATGATTTATAACTGTTCCCAGCTGATCACAAAGTGTTTCTAAATTAAAAGCCATTAATTATAGCCTTATATAGATACAAAGATATGCAAGAAGTGCTTTGTAATTCCAGCTCTGCACTTCAGGTGAGAGCTTTTTAAATTACTTGGACCATTGGAGCCACCTGCTTGACTAAATGCTGAGGGCCCTGTGTTTCAGTACTCATCAGCGCATTGCAGTGTTAACATTGTTACAGATTTTTCTCATTTCTCCAGGGCAAATACTAATTAATGGATACAATTCACAGCTGATTAGCTGTAGTTTCTTCAGTAATTACATTCGTAGACTAACTGTTCAGAAGAGGATTTCTAACCCAGTTCTTATTTCACTCTAAGCTTAATTTGTTTTTTGAATTGTTTAGGTCCTTAAGATAATAACCATTTTATTTTCTTTTGTTGTTGTAGGTACCATTAGATAATAAGGAAATTTAATCTTAGAAATACTCACAGATAATTGTTGTATGCCTTCAATGGATTTCTACTTCAGAAACAAAAAAATGAATTTAAATAATATTAGTTATGATCCATACTAACAAAAGCTTTAAATATGCCAGGTTATGACATCAGTGCCTGAATCATACTGAATAAGGTATTAAAGATTGTAGCCCAAGAACAGAATGAATCAAAGGATATGTACTTGTAACATTTAGCTTTGACATTCATCCTTACATCATTTGCTTCCATAGTCCTAATAAAGTGAAAAATTATGTTGTCACTTTCGCCTTTGTTTTAGTTAAATAAGACAAAAAGGAATAAAACCACTTGGCAATCAGAACAGTAGTACTGGTGGTGTGAGGAATAAATGTAGAGCAAAACAATGTAGAATTTTATTCTTCAATGTAAAAATCAGCTGCAGGGCCATTTTGAGGCACTGGAGCCCCTAGAATGCTAAAATCATTAAAATAGGAGAGAGTTCGTTCCCACTTATTTATCCAGTGTTAAAGCTATACATATTGTGCCTTTGCACTTTGGGATAATTTGAAAACTTTCATTTATTTGTCATTGTAGAAAGAACAGCTTTATTGAAGTCATTTGAGCTTTTCATATAAATCTTTCTTAGTCTGCCACTAACTGACATGAGAAAAATCTAGCCTGTCGATCTCACTGTGAGCTCAAGTACTATGTCTTTGTGCAACAAATCCCCCCCCTTCCACATCCTTATGTGCCAAACAGTAATTTGAATGTGAAATTTTACTTGAATTTTTTAATCTCCAAAAATGCATGACATCTGGGCTTTTTAAAAATGGATGATGTTACTTGAGTATCTGCATAGCCGAGGATAACAGAGTTTTAATAGCTATGAGGCAGCCTACATATTGTGTTAAGGCCTTTGTTGCATAGCATGTGCTACAGGTTGAAAGATTCAGCATGTTAAGTAAAGAAATGGAATTTTATACTTCAGAATGAGGAATCTCATCTTGTATTGCTTTTCCTCCATGATTGTATTCAGATTTTGTTGGTGTCCTGTTTTAATAACCAGACAATACATCATGTACCTGAGGGTCCAATTCTTGTCCATCTTCCTTTTCTCATCCTCTATCACTATAGCTGGTTTTTTGGTTTTTGGTTTGAGGGTGGTTTTTGTTTGTTTGTTTTGTTGTGTTTCTTTTGTTGTTGTTTCTTTGGGTTTTTTTTCCTCTTCTACTTTTAACTTTTGCTCTTATTTTAAGAAATAGATTTTGGAATTTTCAGGAAAAGAGCTGTTCTTGAAAGGATCACTCTGAACCTCTGCTCTAGGATGCCGGAGAAACAACAGAGAGGCAGGGACTGAAACGCTTCCCTGCTGAAAACAGTCAGGCACAAGTACTGCCGCAGCGAATGGAGCTGGAACAAAGTGGTTTTCGTTTCAGGACATGTTCGGCTGCTCTGAAAGCACAACAGAGTTTCTTGCTTGCAAAGAACAACCTGTACAAGTTCATGGTTACCCGTCCTCATGCACTTATTGCAGAACTTATGCTGGTGGTGGTGGTGTTTGCTGTTGTTGGGTTGGGTTGGGCAGGCCCACGAAGATCTGGCAAGATAAAATAAAGCCTGCCTGAAAAACTTTGCCTTTCAGACATCAAAAATGGGAGTTAAAGGAGGAATGCTTAGTATGGCTTTAGCAGCAATAAGGTGGCAGGGCATTGTAGGGACAGCACAGGGACTTTCCTTATTTGATAATCTTCACAGTGTGCACTGTGCTTGATAGCAGAAATATAAAAATGTTAAAGCCTGTGATTTAGTGCTGTAGTGTAGCTGTGTGACGTGTGTGGTATCTGTTCCTTGAAGCAAAGGCTAGACCCCTGCCTGCTCCAGCAGCACATGCAGAAATAGTTACCAGACTACTTGCTCTTTGGAAGCGCTGTTTAAGGGAATAAGGCACACTAAGTGCCAATTAACCAAATGCTGATAATCTCTTTCTCTCCTATGCTCAGTCTGTAAGAGAAAAAGTACTTATTTTCTGCAACAAATGTTCATAGTTGAGAATTTGGAGAAAATTACTGTATGGCATCTAGGAGGATCCTTTCAGATCACGTGTGTGAGAGGAGTTGTATCTCAGTGGGAGCAAGTAGGCACTCGGCTCATTCCACCTTGGGTAGATCTCAAGGTCTCAATGTGATACAGTTTCTCTGATTTGCAAAATCTTTTGCTGTTAATGTTCACTGGGGGCGTGGGAGTGCAACTGGAATGAAGGATAGACAAAGGGGGATTGTTTGTCCTTTAAATTTTGTGGAAATAATGGGATTTTATGAACAACACTGCAGATTCTCATTCTTCCCCTTATTAACCTTCATCTCTTTAAGACCAGGTCTACTTGGAATAGTAATATGCCCGCTACTTCTAGCTGCAGCAGTCCTCCAGATCAGGATCGCCTGCATAAATATTATAATGCATGTCAGGAAAGATGTAGTGGAGTCAAAATGTCTTCTCTGGAGAACAGTCTCTTTCAAATGGACACTTAATTTCCAGAGTCACCTCTAGGTCTGTGGGGTGGTTTTGCAACATGGACAAAGAATGTTGAAGAGATACACTTGGATATCTTCCAAGTACAGACTTGGGATGCAGAGTATGTAATAATAATAATAATCATAATAATAATAATAGTTGAATCCAATCTAGTTCTGACTTCAAAGAACATTTGCAAAATTACATCTCATCTGTTTGTTGTTTGGTTTTGTTGGGATTTTATTCAGCTTTTCCTATGCCAGTGATGGGATAAAGAAAAGTTTATGGTGGCCTTCATTAAAATCCAAATATTTATTTTTCTTTCAGTTTGGAAACAATAACAACTACATGAACATGGCAGAAGCAAATAATGCATTTCTCACTGCAAATGAGGTAGATGTTTATCTTTTTTATCTATGCTTATATTCTGCTGTTCACTGTGATAATTTAACAGACTTTGAATGGATGAAGAGTGAAATGCTGAATTTCTGTGTGTTTTATGGAGCACAAAATAAAGACTTTAATGAGAAAGAAAATAACCTGACAGCTCTCCATTACTAGTCAATTTAGCTGTCCATAAGGCAGTTACTTACATAGCATGTCAATAGAAACAAATCTGCTTTATGTATGAAAAAAATTATAAACAGAAGGAAACAAATAAAAAGCACAGTAGGTGTACACTTTGGAAGCAAGCTTAGTAATAGTCATTACTAACTAGTGGGCTAATTTCTGTTACAGATTCAAACATTTTCATTTGGGTTCTTAATATGAATATAAGTTAGAAAACCAAACCCAGCTTTATAGCCTGAAGTGCATGTGCTGCATGAAGCAACTTTTGTCAAGGGTCAAGAACAAACCCTGGCATCAGGCCGGTGGAGCCTGACTGGGTTATGGTGGTGATGTATTTGGTTGCTGCCTTTGAGAATGGGAGCTGGAGGAAGGATAGCCACTGCAGTCCATGTATTTTTTAGAGCAGTGCTACCTTACAGCCAGTGAATAGACTTATCAACATGCTAATACCAACTCCAGCTCCAGACCTTTTGCTCATCACTAAAACTCAGCAGCTCTTACTCCAAAGGGAAGGATGGAAAGTGCAAGATGCACTGTCTAGTAATGTGCATAGCAATATGGAGAACAAGAACTAAGTATTTATGTAGCATGCATGCCATAAATTATCTTCCCAACATGAGGAAAGGTTAGAAGACTGGGCAGCCTTGATTTTACAGGTTGTAAGTGGGGATTAAGTCACAGGTATTCTTGTGCGCTTTTTAAAATGCAATCTCAGAGAAAATAAGCAGAAAGGTGTAACAATAAATATGAAGGTTAGAATTAAGAGTTGTATTTTAAGAATCATTTATACAATGGTCACCATCTCTTTTTACCCAGCAAGACTGCTTAGATAAGGGAATATTGTTTGGCACTAGCTCTAGTGTTATTTGTGATAATGAACACAAACCCCATCTGTAATGACAACATGATGTTTCTTTCTGTAGAATTTCTTTCCTACATTTGAATCAAACATTGATGAAAGCTCTGCTGCCAGCAGCTGTTCAGAGACAATTTAATTCCAGCTGTGATAATTCACCGTGTCAGACATTGGCTGTTATATGTTGATACAACAGTTCTCCAGATTTGCATTTTTATCAAAAGGAACAAATGTTTTGAACATTTCAGTACAGATGGCATTTAACCATGCACACAGTTTTGTTTTTTGTTTTTTAAAGTGTAAGATATAACTATTTGAAAAGTTAATAACTTTAAAAAATATGATTGGTAAGATAAATCCCACAAATGTTATACCATCTTTTGGTCTAACAGCACCTTCCTGCAATACCAAATTGCATACTATTCAGGCTCTTTTTACAGACTGAATGCTGCAGTGATTTGGATTTAAGACTATTTCACTAAGGGGCTTGCTTTCTTCTTAGATTACATGTATTTTATCCTCAATCTTGGTTCCATTATATGCTTTTAAAAAAGAACACATACATATTGTGAGAATCAAATTCACGTTTAAAAAATGTTCAGGTATTCATGAACTTACTCTTCCATTTGTAGTAAGCTATAGTATTAAGATGAATGCTACTTTTCTAAGTAAAATACTGTATTATTGTCTAGCTGTGTTATATATTTATACAGCTGCCCTGGAGTTATTCTGTTAGATGGGAAGAAAAGATCCAGTTCTTACAATTACTATCTCATAAATACGTCAAGTAAAGAGAGGGTCAAATGTACTATAATAATACTGATTTCACTGAACTTTTTTGCTTGAACAAGGAATAAAAATATGAGTATTAGTGTTCGCATTAAAACATGACCCTAGCTTTACAATCACTGCATTTACAATGTGTTTAATTATAGTGTTTTTACATTAACATGAATGTAGCTTTCTCACTATGATTTTGGACCTGAGCACTGCTGAGCTAGAAGCCCATTTTATTCCTGTAAATAATGCCTTAAGAGTGTAATCCTAGAGCACATTCAGGTTTAGAAGCCACACATTTGCTTTATGTTTTCTGTCTCCATGTCATGGTTACTATGACCTATTTTAAAGCACCTTAAATATTTATTGAAATAATATTTCAAGTGTTAATTACAGTGGTAATGAAAACAGCCAAATGCCACATATCAAGAATGAGTGTTTATCTGTATTGTTAATGTGATATGTTAGATTTCATTAAGCAGTAATGGGGTAGCAAATGAGTCACAAATTACAGTTGCATCTGTTACTAGACCACATTAGTGCCAAAATAACTGCAAATGCAGCCATAGGGTTCATTAGCCAACCACTTCTCCTGGCCAATCCATCCTTTGTTTGTGAACTGCGGGGTCCACAGGAAGGAAAATTCACACCTTTTGTAATATAGCAACAGGGAAGTCAAACGTCTCCCTAATCGAGGCCCAGCTTTCACATCCAGAATTAAGTTGAGGTCCTGCAGTTTGAGTGAGATGGGTAGAGTCTCAGCAGACTGACGGTAATGCAGACTGGAGCAGTCTGGGACCTCATCATTTGTGGTGTGAGACCGATAATGACAGCTGACAGGTTCTATATGCAAGCAAAGGTTTTCTTGTGTTTCAGTTTCCATCTTCTCTCAAGTGGTTATTAATTTATATCATCATTAACAGTTTGAAGGATGACAATTTGCAGTAGTTAATGAGCTCTTTCACTGAACTTATCATTTGAAAATTAACTGACATTAAGTCACTCTTTCAAACAATGTAAATAATACATAAAACACCCCCACCAACTCGAATTCTGAACTAATGCAAACAAACAAATCCCAGAGCAGCCTTGCATGTCCAGAGCAAGACAAGAGTGCCTATTTTAGGATTGCCAACTGCCCAGTTTGATCAAGACAGTCCTGATTTGGGTACATTTAAAATGGCCTAATTTCAAGCACTGAATTTCTATTATTAAGTAGCAGTGGACCTGAAATAATATATGAAAGTTCATTTAACTCAAAAGAAATTTGAATAAGCATAGCTCATTTGTTTCCCAAATAAAAGTCAGCAATGTTGAAGCCAGATACAGACTCCACTTGAATAAAGATTATCTTTGACAGACACATGCACACGTACAAACATGCACAAACCCTGAAGATAACTGGCAGTAAATGTTTTGCTCAAGGCATCTTAACAGGTGTTTAGTTCTTAACAAACCTACTGTTCAAACAAAACTGGCTTGCTTCAGAAAGCACTGGAAACTGCACTAAGCACTATCACTCTTTTATATGCGTCTTTCCTCCAAAATACAACCCCTGCTTAAAAGGATGCATTATGCTTTTGGGATGGATAAGAAAAGAAATAAGACCAGAATTATAATATTTCATGTTTATTAGTGCATAAAAAAGAAACAAAAGGTGTGAAATGGTCAGTCAGTGCTGAATTAATGTTATATGTGTGTGCATGCACACTACAAAATTGTCAGTATTTTATGAAGCATGAGAGTAATGTAAGCTGTTTGTGCTATTTTACTAACATATCAATAAAGTGGCAATTTGTTATACAGCCAAATGCAATGTAGCTGATATTCTGACTAACAACAGACAGATGTTGCTAATTAAGTAGGCATTAAAAAACTGTTAATACTGATACTCCATTAAAGCCATATGATAATGAGACTTAAATCTTTAATCAGAGTGATCCACAAACCCCCTCAGTATACAAAACTTAAAAATTCTGTTGCATATAGAGTTTGCATTTGAAATCAGAACAAGATTTGCACTGCAGGTCTGGAGGTGGTTGCTGAGAGCCATGTGCCCAATGTGGTTTTCACTTGTCCTGTCCTTTTTTAGCAGACGTTCCATACGCCAAGCCTTGGGGATGAGGAGTTCGAAATCCCACCCATTACCCCCCCGCCTGAGTCAGATCCCACGCTGGGCATGACAGATATACTGATGCCCTTTCAGAGCCTTAGTGACCAGCTGCCTGCACAAGGAAATGAATTTACACCACAGTTTCCCCCCCAGAGCTTGGATCTTCCCTCCATTACAATATCCCGCAATCTTGTGGAGCAAGATGGCGTCCTCCACAGCAATGGATTGCATATGGTAGGTCTGGTTCTTTGTATGTTTCCGTTGCCTAATATCGTCTGTCAAAGCACAGTAATACAGATTTGTGTCATCTATCAGTTTTAATTGACCTCTCAGAAGATCTGATGATTTTCCAGTGTTTTGGTCCAAACAAGTATTTGCAAATGTTCTGTATCAAGTGCAGGCGTGTTCTGTATGAACACTGACGTGTGTTGTCAGTGTTACACAGTAAACAGTTCCCTAAGGCAGTTGGCAAATGGTTAAGGGTTTAATATTGGTGGATTCAGGAAGATGAACATGGTTGTTAATGTACAGTGCAATGGTATACTGTGTGTGAACAGATCTGTAATGAAGAAGCAGTTGGGTTTTATAAACATAGTGTTCAGATTTTGGGAATGGACTTTGAAACCCATATCCATTGGCATCATGTGCATCCCAAGTGCTGCTAAAGTTCAAAATTGTGTTACAGAGTTGACATTAGCATCAAGAGTTGAAAGACCATTGTGTTGGTCAGGGTGAACTATAGCATTCAGAAGGAATTGCTTGTCTACATTTTAAGTACAGGACCCACATCTGACAGCTATCAGGATATTTTGAAAGTACAGTATTGAAAGCAGCTCAGAAAGGGAGCCAGACACAGTATGCTAGCAATAAGAACTCTTTTATTTCCCTATTTCTCTGTATATTGCATGGGCTAAATCTGCTTAAGTTGAAATAGATTTTTTTTTTTTTTAATTGAAAATAGGAGTGATAGGGGTCTTGACCATACTGAGAAATACAGGGCCATAAAAAGACTGTTCTGTCTAGCGCTCTTGTAGGTGAAGAAGTCTGAGCCTGTTCTCCTGTTCTGGGCTGTTTCTAGCACCCAGAAATGGGAAGTGATGATCCAGGTGTGGGGAAGGCCCGAGTGATGGAGATGCTTAGGCTAATTCCTGTGATGATTCCTTTTAATTACAAAAATCAAAACCAAGGCTGCATGGAGTCTCCTTCAGAATCTGTATATACTGTATGCCTCTGAGCTCAGTGCGAGGGCATACAGACAGTTTTCACTTGTATTTCCCTTTTATTGGGGGATCTCACTGCTTGGATTTCTCTAAGCTTTATGCAGTAACATTCATACTTGCAGTGATGAGGCACAGCTGTGAGTCAGTTTACCATACTTAGCATTTTAAACTCAGTGCTTACAATTAGAATTGGTTTCTATATTACGTATTGAAGACAGAGCAAGTGTTTAGCTTGAACAGATATTTTACATCAACTGATTTTTATATAGGACCTTTTGCTAAACTTTGTGTAGTGAAAATACAGATTTACTGCTGGATAGTAATAAAGATTGTGTTGTCATATTTATGATTTCATGTACATCTATTTTTCTTTTTTATTATTCTGGCAAGTGAAAATTAATTAAAGATTTACAAATCAACATGCAGCAAATATTTCTCTGGAATTCTGCAGGCTTTTGACTTAGTTGCAAATTTTAATGTTTCCTTGGAGAGGAAACTTCATGAAGAGTAGCTAGCACAGAACTCTTAAGCACAAACTGTTGACTACTTTGGAGGTACAGAATTCAGTAATTCCATAGATACAAAGCGGGAACTGCCTAAAACAGGCCTTGCATGATTTAATGCTTCTTTTCAGATCCAATTTTGTATGCACTGGCCATTTTGGGCAACTACTAAAGAAAAATCAGATTAAAAAAACTTGAGAGTCAGGAATGTTATGTTGAAAATTAAACAATGGAGCATGTGTACACTGAATACAATGAAATTTGGTGGACTTGGCAGTCCTGGGGTAAAGGAAAGGTTGGACTTGATGATAAAGGTCTTTTCCAACGTAGTTGATTCTATGATACTATGAAACTTGCTCAGAGATATATAATAAATATCATGGGCTGGATTAGTGTTGTATTACGAGTATGAGTATCATAGAATCATAGAATGGTTGAAAAGGGCCTTAAGATCATCTAGTTCCAACTCCCCTGCCATGAGCAGGGACACCTCGCACTAAACCATGTCGCCCAAGGCTCTGTCCAATCTGGCCTTGAACACCTCCAGGGATGGAGCATTCACAACTTCCTTGGACAACCCATTCCAGTGCCTCACCACACTCACTGGAAAGAACTTCTTCCTTGTATCTAGCCTAAACTTCCCCTGTTTAAGTTTGAAGCCATTACCCCTTGTCCTACCCTTGTCCTACCACTACAGTCCCTAATGAAGAGTCTCTCCCCAGCATCATTGTAGGCCCCCGTCAGATGTTGGAAGGCTGCTATGAGGTCTCCATGCAGTCTTCTCTTCTCCAGGTGGAACAGCCCCAAAATTCTCAGCCTGTCTTCATACAGAGGTGCTCTAACCCTCTTATCATCCTTGTAGTCCTCTTCTGGACTTGTTCCAGCAGCTCCGTGTCCTTTTTATGTTGAGGACATCAGAACTGTACACAACACTCCAAGTGAGGTCTCATGAGAGCAGAGTAGAGGGGCAGGATCACCTCCTTTGACCTGCTGGTCACGCTTCTTTTGATGCAGCCCAGGATACAGTTGGTTTCTGGGCTGCAAGTGCACACTGACGGCTCATGTTAAGCTTCCCATCAACCAACACTCCCTCAATGTTATCAAGTAGTTTGTAACCTGACCCAGTTTTGCCTTTTAATTTGCAACCTTTCACTGAATGTGATTCTTTCATGAGTAAATACTGTCACCTAAACAGTTCCGGCCAGAAGAGGCCTCCTGGTTAGATATCTCTTTTCTCACCTCTTCTTGCACTGGGTGAAAGGCTTTTTGTATTTTGCTTCTCTTCTAGACTGTGCAATGTAGAAATTAATGGCATAGTGTATGTTAACTTCAGTGGTAAGAATTTGTTCCCATATAGGTCAAAGGGAAGATCTAGAGAAGCTCATGCCTTCTTATCCCTTGTAGTCCAGAAGCATTTTCTTCGGTGATTGCCAGTTCAAAGCTGCAGATTGGGAACTTGTATGTTATTTCACATGGAGGAGCCATATAGGGAGGTTTGTGTGTCAGACTCTTCCCCACAACTGCTTGGTTGGTTTTATAGTGTGAGCTGGAGTGGCCCCTACCGTTGTGTTTTAGTCAGTAGTCATCTTCTCTTTTGCTCATAAATTCAAGGTAGTTTCAGGAAGTCTAAAAACATTAACAGAGGGTCCTTTTTTTTGAGCTCACATATTTCTCTTTAGTATTCAAATTTTCCAGCAGTTAATCTGTATTTCAAAAATAGAAAATGAAAACATTATATCATCTTTTATGTGAAAAATGTGACTTTATTAAACTGGTAAATATTTATTAATAATATTAGAATTAATCTTTAAATTAGACATTTCATGAATTACCTTGCCTTGGAGCTATAAAAACTTTATTACAGCAATAAAAAAATGTAAAGGAGCCATTTTAACTATGAAATTTCATTTCATGGTCAATTGAATTTACTGTATCTGAAAGAACTAAAGATGGGGTTGTAAAATAATTATGATGTTCATATAGTCTTACAGAACAATGTTCTTAGCCAGTGATACTAGGATAGTCTTGTTTAAAGGCTGTATTAGTAGTGTATTGCTAATCACTAAAGCTTCTTTAGCTGAATATAAACTTAAATTATTTTAATATGAACTGCACTGAGTTTGTTATTTTGTGAAGCATTAGAGAGCTTTCTTGTAAGTAGTATTTAATTTAGATAAATGTAGTCCTACCCTGTTGAAAAGTCCAGTAGAAGAATTTCACCTTGAAGAAATGTCATGAGATTTTAAATCACAAATGTTGAAAAACTAAAATGGACTTGGACAGAATTATGATTAATACTGTGTGTCTCTGGCTTTTTTCAATGTACTACCTGACATGTTCACCTATAAATTTGAATTCAGAATCACCAGAGGCATGGTTAAAAATAGGTTATGTCAAGGTTTTCCTATGTTTCCCTCAGGGTGTAGAGTTAGCTAGCCATCTTGTAATACTTCTTCAAGTATCTCACGTATTTCCCACAGGAAGACCAAAACCATAAGATTCTGTTTTTAGCATATTCTTTGTCTATTATTATATTGAAAAAATCCTTTATGGTGCCAAAAGGATATTTATTCTCAGCATAAATGTGGCCTAGCAATTATTAAAAGATCATATTGATGAGTTAAGAGTTGTTCATATTGTTAAGGTGTACGTTCTATGGAAAGACTGACAATTTGTCACAATGCTACTGAACTTTATTCTCACTGGCAACAAACACAACACATTTATCTTACTTAACAGCATTTTTCTACATTTAAGAAGAGACAACTGCAACAAAAAGAGGAGTTAAAATGGAGGCAGTTTGCTTAATTTTAATATTTTAATAATGTGCAAATGTAATTCTGATGTTCAAAAATGAGTCGCTGAAAAATGGAGTGTTGATGCACATTTGACTTGAAAGAACACGTGAATTTATATGATGCAAATATTGTCCCTATAAATACTTGAATATAAATAAGTGGAAATCAGCAGCGATACCCTCATAAAAAATCAGCCCCCAATATTTTATGTTAACGCTCTGTTTTCTGCTGAGCAGCCTATAGAAAAATTATGTTAATCTGCAAACTGTGGCAATTCTATAAAACTACAACTTGTGCTCCTGAGGGTTCCTTTTTTTAACACCTCTCTAATCTGCCCAGCCTGCTGAGTAGCATTGACATCAGTAGTACATCAATTTCAGAAAGTGGATTATTTTTACTAGACAGCTATTGTGACATATTGGGTCAGTCATAAATGAAAGATATTCATGCAAGCATGCAATACTTGTAATGAAGTCTCACTCTGACCTTCTGTATGATTGATTCTGTAATTTAGTTTTCTCAGGCAGTGCCTGAAATGAAATGAAATCATGTTGAACAAGTTTTGAATACCCACAGTGCACCAGGAGAAGAAAAATCTGCAGCCCCAGAGGCTTGAGAGAGAGCAGCTGAACGATTTGTCTCCATGCTATTATAGCCTTTGCCAGCATTCAACATTTTTTTCTTTTTCCTTTTTTTTTTTCCTTTTTTTTTTT